AGGACTTGTATCGCTGGGTTTCTCGGAAATAATTTCTACGAGAAATTAACAAAAGAACAGACATGTCACAATATATTGCTTCATATCGAGTAATCCTATACGTTTTTCCAGATAAACAACTGTTCAGAAAATTTGAGTCAAATCACTCGTTCTAGACGTAAAATACCTAGAACCAACAATAATTAGGGAAATTAATTGCAATACTCTGATGGTCATAGACCTACAATACCTAGAACCAGCAATAATTAGTGAGATTAATTGCAATACTCTGATGGTTATATACGTAAAATACCTAGCACCATCAATAATTAAGGAAATTAATTGCATTACTGGTGGTACACATTTTCAGAACGTGGGCCAACAAAGAATTTGGTGCAAAATAGTTTGTAAAAATTGCAGTAATTCTAGAGTTAAGTTATAAAAATCTCATAACAAAAGATGATATCGTCTGTGATTCCAAGATTAAGGCTGTTACTAAAAACTATAAATAATATTCTGAAACGAAATTTAGACGATATGCCAGTTGTTGTTTTGTTTTTGTTTTTTCACTGTTCATCTAGAGATTCAAATCTGCAGGATCCACTAAATTTATAAAGATAAACATCCAATCAAAAAGCTCAATAAGAAGAGAGGTGAGCTGTTAAGAAATCGGACCGTCGATTTAAAGAGATCAAGGATTTCTGCTACATTGGCTTGGCATGGAGCTCCGGAACCTTGTAGATCGAACCGCTCTCGATGTCTCCTTGCCAAGTTAGCTTGCTAGTATCGATCGAACTCGGCAAAACCTTTGTTGTTGCTGCTCGTTTCGCACGAGGAGGCGGTAGCACAAAACCCTAAGCTCGTTTTGAATTGGTTACTGCAAGCCGAAAGCAAAATTAGGCTAATTAAATTTCGAGGTTGATCCGGGACGACTAAATGTTATTTTCATCTCAATAAACTATCTTGTATAGGACAACCACATGTAACAAAAGAAACATTCTTAAATTTAACGACGTGGCCTACTCTTCTATGTGTATGTGGAACAATACTATAATGTTTGGTATAATATAAAATACATTACACATGTTTGAAGTATATGTTGTTTTGTTGAAGTAGCGTGATTTGAAGTTGGAACTAATTTAGCAGTGTAAGAGTAGAGGGAAGGCAGCTAGTCATCACCACCCACCGCCAACTCTTGGGCTACTCTTGCACCAACGAATAGTGAGATTCATCGTCACATTATAACGCTCCCACGGCTGAAAGGGCGAGCATGTTTGGTGTGACGGGGATTCGAACCCGCGACCCACAGATTGCGATTCGAGCGCCCTAACTACCTGGCCGTGCCGGGCACTGGAACTTAATAATCATGCCTCCCTGCTGGGCCGGCCTTAATTCAGGGCATTACATTGCTTAAATCCGGGGTTCGATTCCACCACATTCCGTGACAAATCTTATACCATAACCAGCTGCCACACCAGCCTTCGAGAAATAACTGCTGACGTTATACGGTACCAGAGAACACCAGTTCAAACACTGTATAAGCCTAAAGTTTAACAAAACTACGCGCCATGTTTTGTATAATTTATATATGACTGCATAATAAAAGTGAATTTCTAGCTACCTTCTCTCTAGTCTATCACTTCTAAGTTAGGGACGGTTAACGCAGCTGGCCGTCGAGTAGTCTTGCGCGAAATTCAACAGACTAACAAAGTACGAAGATGGGTTATCATGAACCGCGATAGTAGTGCATAATAGGAATCGCAAAAAATTGCACAAAACCCTTATAGAACGTTCAGGCTTAAACAGTAAAAATTCAGTTTAAACAACACTTTAAAACCTTTACTATCGACTGCTAAGGTTGTGTACATATAAAAATGTACAAATATTAGACTTAGAAGGAAAAGAAAATCCAGTCAAAACGACCCGTTTGTAATTCTTCTTTTTCTTACCAGCCTAGAACAAAAACTGCTTAGTATATTGCACTCAAATCTTTTGTAGAATACTAAATAAGGTACTGCGAAAGCTGTAGGGGTGTTGAAAAGCCGATTTGATTTTTCTGCATTTTACATAAGCTAAAACATCATAATTATAGTGTAAATAATGTTATCATTACCCCTTGAAGTTAGCTTTCTTACAAATATCTGCTGTTCCTTTAAAAAGCTTAAGTACAGGGTGAAACAGCAATTACCAGCCAGTAACAGATGAACATTATATGATTGTAAATTGTAGATACTCAATGCTTTGTACACTATACAATCGGTGTCTCTAGGGAGCCAACCTCTATATTACGTATGAAGTTAAGGAAGAAAAACCTATATGAATAATATTAAATTTTATTACAGACATTCGTAAAATAATTTCTTTAAAAGACATGAAGGTTTATTTAAAGTGATATTTTCGATGTATATGTTTTATTTGAAAAAGCTGCTTTGCTACTGGTAAAATTGTATACGCGCTTAGTGGTGGCTGTGTCTAACTCTAGGCATATATTTGCCCATTGCTATGCATTATATATAGAGAGAAAATATAGTTACACAGAAACTATAAATGCTCACTATATTCTCGAACAAATTTCCATGACAATCTCCAGCTGCAGCATAACATTCTTCATCTCGAAATAATGAGATCAAATAGTCGATAGCTACAGTAAATCATCATGACCCATATCAGCTAGGGCTAGCTACCACATCAAGTAATCCTTTGCCCATAGTTGAGCAAAAAAAGCCACCAAACAAGATAAATAAAAGATTGGGAGTTTAAAAATCTGCAAATAGGGATCGTAAAAAAAAGTTAAGAAACAAGGCTGGAGATACTGTAGACATTATTTACTCAAACTACAAACCTCTATTTTGACTCTGAAATGCAATTACAGGTAACAGCAGGTGTCTTGAGAAACACAAAACCAACCAAATTAATTAAATGTAAAATTTAATTAGTCTCAAATAATGCTGTTTGGAAGCCTGGCTTGGCCCGGTAGTTAGGGCATTCGACTCGCAATCTGAGGGTCGCGAGTTCGAATTCCCGTCACACCAA